TGTATTCTTTCCTATAGATGAGTAAAAAATCCTTGAGCTGGAAAATCAACTACCTTCACTGGTGAGAAATATATACACAGAGCTGCTAAAACCTTGACATCTATTATCGTGCCAGACTTGAGCATAGCTGTAGTGGGACCCTCAACGGATTGATCTGTGAACTCTGCTTAGCACTCCTGAGAGGGTACAGAAGGAAGCTTTAAATCATAGTCACAGCCCGTGATCCTGCAGCTATTCTAGTGTTGAACCTTTTGTCCCTTGACAAGAAGACTGTTGTAACTTGTACCAGTGTCAGAAGTCCCATATAGCGATTGCAGGTTTTAGGAATACTTTTCCCTGCTCTCTACTCCATGTTCACTTCCTGCACAGTGACATGCAGGAGACATCTAATATTGAAGAAATCTTCCTCTGCAAAGTCCTCCTTGGGACAGCTTTAGTTCTTGTACCATTGAAAGTTTTACTAAGTTTTGAGGCACAGTGTTTTTCACAAAGATATAATAAAATTGGATTGTTGGAAACCTGTAATCAACATCCATCCTAACATTAATATTTTGATCCAACATTAGTGAATACATATCCTTGTTCATACCCACACTGCATTGCTTTGACTTATTGTAATGCAACAGTCATTTGAATTGTGGAGAATAATCTTGTGCATGACCTCAGTTTCGGCTTGGGGCGTGCTTAGAAACATTTAATCTGATTTGTCAGATCAATGGAAAGACATTTGCTTAATGCAGTATAAAGAACTTGCAGTAGTGTTACTCAAATCAGATAGAGGAGTTTAAATTCTTATTTGTTGTTTACAATTTCAGCTTTATTAAGCTCTAATCTCTTTTTAACATTATTTAAAGAAGGTGCTGTCCATGTTCTGACTTGTTGTTGTCCTGTTTTTATATAGTTACTTCCAATTTTAAGCATTCTTTCTTTAACTTGTTTTTAGTCTTCTAACCTGGGTACTTCCCTCCATAGTTTAGAAAACTTTGTCTTATAACTTATTCCTTAGGTTAAAAGTTAACTCCTAACAGCCCCACAGTTAGCCAACAGATGCTGTCTCCTTACCTCCACCCTTGGGACCCAGCTATATATTGATGTCTGTTAATCATTCAGCATTTGTCAAAATGCTTACATCCATCCTAATGTGGATATACATCTTTCTTTTATACTCGAGGATGTCCAGAATATTCAAAGCTTTGCCTTTATACTTGCTGGGCTAGAGACTAGGGAATCCAATTCAGTGCCAAAGTTGGTATTTTTTTCAGTTTGTTTATGAGTAAAAGAAGCCTGTCTTCACACATACATACGTATGTCCGTGTCCATGTGCTTTCCCCTAACAACTCATCTAAGAACTGCTTCGAGATCATGAGCATAACACAGTTTGCTAGTTTCTGGTCCAGTAGAAGGTCCTGTGGTATTTATAATGACTTCAACTTGATGTGCAGTTTGAAAGATAACTGTTCCAGCCAGCGATTGGTGTGGATCTGACAGAGGGAAGAGCAATACTTCATTGACACAGCCAGTTCTTACAGCCCTGTGATTTTTTTCTTCTGTGGTCTTCTACACATCTATGAACTTTTCAAGGATGATCCTGCTTAGTTTGTGAGATCATGTCATACTCTGTGTGATTTTTACTGAGTTGATCCTTCTGGTTTTAAGGCCAGTATTTATAAGCAATTTGGAAGGAAGTCACATCTATTACAATTCTCACTTTAATTTTTTTTTTAATACTAATAAAGCAAATGCTAAAAAGTCTGTAAAGTATATCTAAGGGTTCACGAGGGCTTTAGGAGCGCAGCTCAGTGTTACATTTAATGTGATGTAACTGCAAGCTGCTCCCAAATAATTCTCCCCCATTTTCCATCTTTATCTGTGCATTGCTGTTGCACCCCTTACAGGAGGTGACTGTACAGTGTCTGGGGGATGATTGTGCATGGGGCAAGGGCAGCACAGGACTGTCTTTTCAGTGACAGTTCACTATCAGCTTGGATTAAGTACATAAAGTCCTGATCTTAATGTTGTGAACTGCCTTACCTTGGTATGGTGTGAACTGTGAACAGAACCTAAATAAGCCTCTTTTTTCAATTAACTGGACTGAACCGTTTTTATCTGAAGTGCATCCCATCTGTTTAGGTTAGCTTTTCTGTTCTAGTGAATGAAAATCTGTGTTTGTATATACATAAACATAGTGTGTGAGGAAGGAAGTGCATGTGCTTGGAGGGGAGTACAATCAGTGCACCAAGTGAGAGCATTCCAAGTACCAGCTGGCCTGGTCAGCTCTGAGGCATGGTGCTACACACGGATTTGCTATGCCAGAAGCAGGCTGAAGATGAAAACTTGTCTCTCACAGTTGCAGTTCTTTGCTAGCTCACTGTTTTCTGCAGAGCAAACCAATCTGCACTGGGCCTATTCAGCGTTACAGGTTACTCCTTCATTGTAGCTTGTCTGCTGGTAATGGTGTGCTGCTGATGGGATCGAGGTCCACCAACTCTCTTCCCCTGGGCTATTTCCTCCTTGCCTACATCAGTGAGGGAGTAATGACTGTGGAAGGAGCTCCCTTTTCCTGCATCTCAAGCCCTTTTAGATAGACAGTGTGAGCTACAGACACCTTCTGATAGCGTATTATATTTGGAAGCAGTCTTTTTCATCCACTGTTCATGTGATGGAGGGGTAACTGTTTCTGAGCACTAATGAAGCCAAACACAGTGTTCTCTCTTTATAACACAACTTTACTCCCCCCCCCCAAGGAAGTATTTCAGTTACATCTTTAAGTTAGTCCCTGATGCCCAGTGTAGATTTTGCTTTCCAGCTAAGTATAATTTGGTATTTTGCCAGGAGCATAGATATCTGTAAAGTACAGGCTCTGACTTTTTTAAGAGATGCTTTGGGATTGTGTTTATCAGATTTGGGGAAACCATACCTTATTAAGTGTGTTTTTTTCCCCTGCCTGAAGGTTGAAAATTATTTTCTGAAGTACATCAAAACTAGAACATGACAGGGCAATTACTTTTTTTTTTAATTTATTCAGTAGTAATCAGTAAACAGATACTTTCTCATACCCACTCAGCATGTTTTGTATATGCATTTTGCTTTTGTGGAGGCAGACTGCTGTCAAGTTAGAAGCTTCAACACCATTAGTAGGATCACTTACTTAGTATCTATTGACAGGAATTTGATCATATAGTGTTAGCTGAAGCTGGGACTGAGTATTGGCTCCGGCAGTGTTACTAGTTGTGAGATAGTTGCTTTGTTCCTCCAGCTGATACTAACTGGCACATAGTTTGGCTGTGCACGATAAATAGCCAATGGTAAAATAGTTTTCAATTTCTAGTCAATAACTTATACGAATAATAGCATTACATTTGCTTTTTCACTTTCATCTGTGAATCCTGCATCCTTTCTGTGCAGCAGAGCAATTGCTGTACAGGAAAGGAGGAGGCTGCCTGCTCTCCAGGACAGTCACAGCCTGGAAGCTTTTCGTGGGATGGTGGGAGATGCAGTTTGCAGCCTTTCAGGCTAATAAGGAAATTGAATCTAGGTCTCCCCCTACTTGGAAGAGTTTCCTGATCTCCAGGCTATTATTAAAATACACATATCAAAATAAGCACCTGTATCTTAGAAGAAAAACTTACCAACTCTGTATTATCCTGGCCACAGGATGTCTTGAACATATCCTGGGATTAGACCCCTCCGCAAACTAGATTTTAGAACTGCTCAGAGTGGGTAATTTGAGCTATGCACAGAGAAGCTCTAAGTGTTCAGGGAGCTCTAAGGTCAAAAGTAAAGTGCCTGGGAAGCAAAGGCTCATCACTGGTTGGGAAGCAACTGTGGCAAGGCTGTTTTGGTTTCAGTTTGAGATGTAGATACAGAAATCCTTCCAAACAGAATAAACATATTTTATAGAAGTTGGGGTATTCCAGTACTGTCTTAAGGGTCAAAGGAGAATTTGCATTTTTACAATGTGAAATAAGGTGAAGACTGGTTCTCAACAATATGTTGAAATGTTATTTTCTGTGCATCTGAGTACATTCATAGTTGCAGTGCATGTATTTTATTGCTGTGTCTGATAAAAGTATAACATAATACAAATTATGCAGGCGGATTTTAAAACAACTGTGTAGTTTTCTGCAAGTTTGATAACTTTTTATACTGTTGACTTAGACAGAATGGTACTCTGAACAGTCATTTGCCATGTGTCCACAGCCAAAAACCCCAGACAGGTTTTTGTGTGAAAAATCCATGCTCTGTATGTTGGACCAGCAGTTAAATGGATAGAAGCAAAAGGCTTTATGGTGGCTTCTCTGTTGTAGACTGCAATACATTATTCATGACACCAACCTGCCTTGGCAAGCTTAAATGTATTTCTAGCATTTAACCTCAGATATAGATCCAAATCCAAATCCAGAAATTATAGTGTGACATAGCATCTACCAGTTTCATCCAAGCATATCTTAATAAGCCCCTCACATCTCTGTCAGTCACTACAGAGGATGAATGTGAATGGCTAGCCTGAATATTACTGAATTTGAAGTTTATTGGAGGAAAAAAAAATCATCTTTGGCTATTGCCTTGCTAATTCATCTTCATTCCAAATGGTAAACATGTCGGTAGATGTGAATGAAAAGCCTCCAGACTATAAATAATAAATGCTTCTTCTAGCTGTACAGAGTGCTTTACTTTTTTGAAATGATGCCAGTATTTTTTTTTTTTTTGCTTTTAAATGGATTACGTTGTTACACAGTACTACGCTTTCTGCTAAACTCTGTGAAGGTCTTTATCTGTGTTCATAACTGTTGATTTTATATAATTACTAGCATAAAACATCATATGCTGCAAATTAAACACAAACAAATGAAATGAATATTCAGGGAATTCTTAGCAATTTGTAGTATTTTGTATAAGCTCAGTGCAGATGTTTAGGAGTTTCTCAGATCTTGACAAGTAATAGATGATTTTGTTCAAAATGTCTAAATTATGAATATACTTATGTGTTTTCTTACTAGGATAATGTTTGTGAATTTATCTTACCTGAGTTATGATGATTACATTAAATCCACACTAATGACAATAGTAAGTGAAATCAAAATGCATCCCTTCCCTCCACCCCTCTGCCCCCCAACATTTCTAACCATACAGATAATTGAAGATGTGTTGTGGCACTGACTTCCGTTCCTTTAGGAGTCCTTTATCTCCTCCAGTTTGGCTTCCTTAGTGTATAAGGTGTATGTTAGTATATCTTAGGCCCAAGACAAAAGTATAAATCAGCTATCCTTCATAAATCCCTTTGAAAATCACAGTATGAATTTTTATAAGGTTCCAGCTATCACTTAGGAGACAAACACTCACTTTTCTAACAGTGAAAAAGGTAATGCCTATCAGAAAACCACAAAGTGAAATCTGAGGAGCAAAGATTGGGTTAACCTTGGATTTTCTTGGCACCTGTTGTAGTATACTTTCTTTGCATAGATCTGAGACTTGGTCAACGGCGGAAGTAACTAACTCATATTTGTATTTCATAGTAGTGGTATCAGTACATAATACTGAATATACATATAGGGCATTCAGATAAGATGGTATGGTGGGTCTGCAGCTCATAAAAACATGGGCATTGCACATTTTAATAAAGGGTGAAAACAGAATTATTTTCCCAAAGTAGTCAATTTGTAGGACTAGTCTTTTCAGAAAGGAGTTCGGTTAAGGACTAGAAACTAGTATTTATTGTCTGTCAGCATCCTGTTGAGATATAGTTCAAAACAAAGCATATAAAACCAATGAGTTTCTGTGCTGAACTGCTGGTTATTCTTTGGATGAAGTGAAAAGAGGTAAGAGAAAAATGCTGTGTGTTGGAGAATATTTTGTGGGAGTCATAAAGTAACCAAGTCATAGCAAGCTTTAGCTTTTGCATGGTTTTCCCTTTTTAATGTGAATAAATCTATTGCTAAACCACTGTCTGCAGTTTCTTTCCTGAATTGTCTCTGCTTTAACACATGGATGAAATTCCAGTCAGAGACAGTCGCCTTTGTTTCCTGAATGCATGGTCATATAATATGACTCCGTATTAAATAGTATCTGCAGATAGAAATTTGATAATGGTACCTTAAAGGTTATTGTCCCATGGAAGTAAATGGGTATTTGAGCCATCTGTATCACTGGAAGTGTGATTAAAGCAAAAGTGCAAGAAGTAGTTCAAAGAAGGCAAAGCTTCAGTGATGAGTGAAGAATCTTAGCTGTCAGAAGGCATTTGATACACAACTGTATGGTGAATTCAGAGCAGAAATTTGATCTCTGATTTCATTAAATTTCCTTTAAAAGAAAAGGCTTCCTTCTCTTTTAGGTATAGGAAAATGTCATGAGAAATTGGTCATACTTATACTGCAGAATGAGGTGCTTAGCTGCTGTTTTGCTGTATTTGCTGCTTTCTGGACATGTATTGCCTCAGGCTGTTCATTGCAGGCATTGCAGCTCTCACAATTTCTTATGCTTCTTTTGAGGGCAAATGTATTTGATCTCTGCTTTGTGCAGTGCAGTGTTCTTTTTCATCATCATGAGTTAAATCCTCTTCAGACTATTTCAAAACCTCAGAGAGTCTTGACACAGCAGAACTTTTGCAGCTGAACTGTATTGTGCACCAGGAGTGCATCCCTCGCTCTCTACTGGAGCTTTCTGTCTTCTGGCATGGGGAGGTCTGGAGAAGTATACAGCTCCTGAGCCATATCTGAAGAGAGCTCAAGGGTAAGTGCAGGAGTTACTGAAACCAAATGGCAATTGTGGAATAAAAACACACAGTCAACAGACATAGACAATAAAAGAATAGTTACTGAATCTGTGAACTCATTTAGGATTTGGCTCAACAATAGCAGTAAATGGAAGCAGATGATAATCAGCTCCTGCACTGTTGGTGCAGAGGGTAATGAATGAACATTTACTGCTTCTGTTATGAGAATCCATACTGAGTCAGCAGCAGCATTTGGCCAGCTTGGCTTTGATTTTATTACAAGTGTCAGGCGCTTGTGTCTAGACTGGTGCTTTGGCAGCTAATTGATCTCCAGCATTTGATATGCTAATTATTTCTTTCATAATATGCTAATATGTGTACAGTGAAAAAAACACCTTTTAAATGCTACGAGGATATCTCAGAGGCGTATTTGGAAATGGAAAGTAAGACCTGTAAATCTTGATTTAGATCAGTACAATATACAAGTGACTGAGTGCTTATAGTTGTGGGAATTTAGCTTAAAAATGGGGGTGTTAAGACAGATACTGTTTAGTCATACAGTGACTGTACAGAGCATGTGTAACAGGCTATCCTGCGCAGCCCAAAACAGCTAGAAAATTGGTGTGGATTAGGGAATATACTACTCTGTTCAACACACTTAACTTAATAGACCTTGGCAGCTTTTTTGCTGCTATTACATGGATGTTCTTTTTTGTGAGGTCAGTAATCTGGACATCATAGTTTTTATCGTATTTCCTTCAGTTAGAGAATGAAAAACTAATAGGAGACAAGTATAGTTGAGTCACCTCCCAGTTCTCCTCTGGAATACGTACCTCTCTACATTAAGACTACTTCTCCAGGTAACTGAATTATTTGCTGGCTCTCTGTGAATTCCTACCATTTGATCATTCAAAAGTAGATGTTACTTGACTGCTTTCTGAGATGTGCTTGTATGCTAGATAGTTCATTCCCAAATTTTTTGTCCTTTCCCTTTTTAGATTTTCTTCACACTCTGGGTACTTTTAAAATACAGTTTGATGTGTCTCAGTCATTAGCTTTCTGTAGCTCCATGTGGAATTATAATTGTACACGTTCTTCAATCTTTGAAAGAAAGGTGCCATCAAGGAGACTTTTCATGCACATTTTCTTTTGTCTTTCTCCACTTGGATATTTTTAAAAATACTTTTATTAAATACATAAAAAATTAAATGTTTTTGAAAGCTATCAAAGCAAGTCTGTGGAAGGATAACTATTGAGCAGCCTTCCTGGGACCTAGGACAGAGCTGCAAGAACACATTATTAATGTAGTACAGAGCCAGAGGCAGAACCAGGATCCTTACTGACCTTTGGAGATCAGCCATGTTTGGCAATTGAACAATTTAATTTCTTTACATATTTTTAAAAGAAAACTGCTAGATTTTCTTCTATACAGACACCTTTTGCATAGACTAATAGGCTGTCCCAGTGCCATTAAGTAGATAGTAATTAGATTACTAATATGTACTTAAAGTCTTAAATAATAGCAAAATGTCTGATCTACATTTGGCTTCAGACCCTGGCAGCAGATTACATGAACAACTATCAAGTCTTGTAAGTGCATGAGCAGATTCTGCAACTGTTACTGGGAACAGATTCCATGTCTGCTGTAATAAGCTTGTCTGTATGCTCAAAACCCTAATCACCCTCTCGTTGACTAAAGAGGACTTTGATTTTCTCCACACGGGGATAAGAAACTGCTTATTTAGCTCTGCAGACCAAACCAACCCAAATAAAATCATCCGCTCATTTTACAGAGGAAAGTTAGTAAACTGATTGCTGAAAATGAAGTCAATGGAGCTATGCTTACTGAAGACCAAAGCAGTAAGTCAAAATACTTTCTTATGTCAAGAGTTATTACGTCCAGTTACGTTCATCCAACTACAAAATCCTGCAAATGATGTGGAATCACAATAGTGTTCTAGGCAGAGAAGGTTACATTTTTATACTGAAATTTAGTGTGTTATATTTAATTTCACTTTGGGCTTCCTCAGGACGCATATAACACTGGAGACAAAGTAGAATTTCTCATCGTGACACAACTGTAAATGATAAAAGGATCTGGTCTCCCATAAATGACATACATTCCTCCTTGTTCTAGCTTACTTTTCAAACATTTAATTTTCCTCACTTGTAAAACTGGGTTTCGGAAGCAACAAGTATCTGATATCCTGAATCTCCCTCTTAAGCTAGTGTACTCAAGGGAATAATTTTAACTGAAATTGAAGGATAAAATGTATTTTTGCATCAAAACAAGGACTCCTTGATATATCTTATTAGTGGCCCTTTGCTTCTAGTTCAGGAAATTATTTCCTGGATGCACTCAAACCCTACAGCAATAGATTTGAGAATTAATACTTGGAATACATTGTGGACTTTTTTGTCTTTTAGCCCAAAGCATTACATCTGGTTGAGACCATGTAGTTATACCGTAACTGCTCCTTTGAGGCTTCATTGATGAGGCTAAAGCCTTTGCCACTTTCATCTATGTGCATAATATATTACAAATGCCACATAAAATAATGTCTTAATATGCTTACAGATTATTCAAACATAGCACACAGAGGTAAGGTTATTGATACAGCTTTGACAAGGGACATGCTCAAACTGGTTAGATTATTGAAATACAGCTTTATTAAGGGAAATAATTAAAACTTGTGAATGATTTAAACAATGAAGTGTAGTGACTTCACTATAAAGAAATGCTTCAGAATGCTTCAGAAATCTCACATGCAGCTGAGTAGACTTTAAATAAATGTGTTTTGTGACTGTTTGTTTGAATGTTGAGTTGAATTTTTTTTAGCCGTGTTGGTGCCTTTTGCATTTGCTTTCTATAAATATTCTAGACAACAGGATTTATGAGTGGGAACGTTCACCAAAAAAATCACAGCATAACCTTTGTAAGCAAACAATAGTCTCCATAAGATACAGCATCCACACAAAAGATTTGATATTATAAATTTCATCCCATCAACAAGAAAAAGAAAACATATCTTTGAAGAATTAAGTCAGATGAGTCAAATTTACGATGCTACAAACTTGAAAGAAAATTCTAAAAATGACTCACAAATAAGTCAGTGGGGATGAGGAGAGTTGACAGATAAATGATACTGCATGAGACCAGTGAATGGTCAGGAAGAAAGAAATCACAACTAGAGCATGAATTCCAGATAAGACTTGTGTATAGAAGAGTTAACAAATTAACAGAAATATAAAGGGTTTTCAATTAAAAGTAAAAAATTGTCCTCCAGAAAGCTAACGTGCAAAATATATGCCCCCTTAATATGATACATATTGGCTTTCAAATATAAACATGCCC